GTGTTTAATCAAACCTATTGAAATCAAATGAAATAGAAAGGATTGAAGGAAGAGAAGGAAGGAAGCAGATATGGTGTGAATGAGTAGATTTGTGTATGCGATACGTGTGAAACATGTGAAAGAGGATATCTGCTAAGGAGGAATATAGTGCAAGATCAAGTTAAATCAACGGTATATCTGTAAATTTCTGTACGCTCATGCATCGCTAGCATTATAGAGGGTTTAAACTTTCCAAAAGCCGCAAGAAAATCTTCGGTTTTTAGCTCCTTGATGAAGATGAGTGCTTCGGCAGATGCTTCTTTTACCTTTCAACTCGGCTAAGGTAGAAAAAGAGGGTTGCTCTTAGGTAGCAGTAGCAAAAACGAGGAATTCTGCTGTAATATCATTGTAATTTTAATTTTAAATGATGTATGTTTATGTAAAAAGTAAGGGTTTGAAAGTAAGGGAATAAAAAGAAATGTGATTAAGTTAAATCGGAATAAAAACCTGAGTAGGAATGTTTCGGTCCATCAAGTCGGATACATTCCTGTTCAGTGCTGCAACTGGACCTCGTCAGTGTGACGACTGTAGCAAAAATAACATGCAATGTGTCAAAAAGAAAATGGAAAATTTAGATAATGTAAAAAGATTAAAGCAAACGGTAAAAGTGCATTTAGGAAAGCAATACCTTCAGATTATTGAAAAAACAGCCACATGTGCGGTGTTGGGGTAAATTCTGTGTTTAGCTTGAAAGCCATCTGGTTGTTCTTGACAATAGATTTATAATATCAAAAAATTCAATAATGGTGGCCTTCTTAAGACATTTTCGATTGCTTAAGTGCAACATTTTGACAATATGCGTTTTTGCATTTGCATAAAGATGTTAAAAACACATAAAAGTGGAAAATTGCTTGGAGCAGTAAATTTCTCTTATACAGTGTCGGAAGTCATAGGTTGATACACTGAGGTGATTTTACTTATGAATGAAACTATTTGTTTTACCTGTAACTACTAAAAGTGTACGATAGAAAGTTATAACTTTCCACTAAAAGTCAAAAATCGCAATCTCTGCCATATTTTTGCTTTTAGGAAAAGCGGAGGCGTTCTGGCATTCGTAATTCATTACCTTCAACACAGTGTTATTAAAGATTTGGGAACGGTCCCCCCGGTTTGACCCTTTGAGGAATGCGGCATACTGCACTCGAAAAATCCATTCAGTTCTCATCAAACTTTAATATCTGGACAAAAATGCCTTTTTAGAGGAGCAGGATGAATGAGACATGTCCCATCAAAGTTCATTTGAGAAAAAAAACATGAAATATCATCGAAGCTTTCAGGAAATAAGCTTGTGACCACGCAAGGAGGTATTGAATATCGTGGACGTCTCTCAACGTTAGGCTTGACATGTGCCAATATTGACATTATCAATGATTCCGGTGTTATTGTTACGCAATATTTGCGACGTATCACAAAAAAGCTCGATCTAGGCGTGGAATTCATCCACCAGTATGGTGTACCAGTGCCCGGAAGACAACTCTCTGTTGTTAATTATCAAGCGAGGTTAGCGTTATTATTATTATTATTATTATAGCTATTATTATGGCTTTGTTCGTTCATTTATTTATTAAAATAGCTATTTTACTAAAGTTTATTCACTTATTACTAATATTACTTCATCCTTATTTGTACTTTTATTTTTTCATTGCCTTCAACACAGTGATATTAAAAAGCCTGGGAAGCTAACTTGGTAATAAGATAAATAAAATAAAATATTTTTATGTTAAAAGAAGAACTAATAAAATGTTGAAAATTTTTTAATGGTAAGAAATATTTCGGTCCATTAAGTCGTATACATTTCTTACCATTACCCCAATGTTGTTGAAAGTCTTCACTTATGAATGTGGAACGCTGTGGCGTTTTGACATATCACAAAAAAAAAATGGGTGTAGGCGCGGGATTCTTTCATCATTAATTCCCGAGTAACGATTCTCTCAAGTTTACGTAGTAAAAGGGTGAAATAGAAAGGATGGGCAGATGGAATATACAATATCTTTAAAGCATATGGATAAATGAAACTCGTGTCATCTACACGTCAAATATTTGCTTTTCCGGTAAGAGAAACAGGGGAGAGGTGAGGGAGAGGAAAGGTTGGATGGGTGCCAGTAAAAAATGCGTTTAAAAGGGGGCAAAAGAAAGGAAAATTTATTCTTTGGAGACAGATTTTTCTTTCTTTTGCCCCTTTTTTAGTGCATTTTTTTTAATCTGGTGAAAAAGAAGGTTAGCTATTTTGGTGTGTGATAATATAACAGTCAACATACGCGCAGGTTTTTTTGAAAAAGAGTTTTTTTTTTGCAAATATTTGTTGTTTTGCACTGCGCTAATATACATTTATAAGCTCTCAATAATTTTTTGTTTTGAGGTATACGGGTCAAAATTTCATTGCGAGTGGGATGTTCAGTTCGGATTCGCTGCATCTCTGCTAT